TAGAGTCCGACAATTCGACCTGCTGGAAAGGCGAACTTGGGATCGTCGCGTTCGAGGTCTGCTAGCACCTTCAAAATAGGTTGAAAGGGCTCAGTCGCCAGGGTATGTCTTGTTTCTGCTTCCTGTTGCGAGGTAGAGGACTACAATGGTCAGCAAGAGCATTGGAAGCTGAGCCGCTTTACTTGCCAATGGAGGGACATGATCAGAAGCCTCCTGCGAATTGTCTTTTTCAGAAACGATTGGCAATGCACTGGGCTGTTGTTCTCCTTCTTTTTCCTGGTCTGGCGTGCTGTTAGGGGCATCCATCTTGATCGCAGGGGAAAGTCGAGTATCTGGGCAATAGCATGTCCACCAATTCTTGGAGGCTTTTATAGACTAGAAGACATCGGTGGCTAGGTACTCAGTCTCATTTTCACCATGAAAGTCAATCAACGTAGTCAGCTTTTCAATCTCAGCACTCTGTTAGCAGTCCGTTTAATGATGGTGCTGGTGATCAGTCTCGTGGTGTTGATGGTTGGTGAATGTGCCTCATTTTAGTGGCCTACTGGTGATGAACGGTCCAGGAGATATATATTCAATCACAACGCATTTTCCACATTCGTTTGTGAGCTCAGAAATCCCAAAAGTAAATAGAGTAAAGTCTAGAGGACAGAAAAAGAAAATCGAAAAAAAAGGTATCTATCTCAACCATGATCACAAGTTAAAAAGTTGACTCCCGTCAACAAAGACGGCCAAGCTTCAACGGGTTGACGGGTTGAGTACCCGCGCCCGCGCGACCGCGGCCTGACGCTTTCCGCAGCCTAGACGGACAGAACCACACACAGCGCAGACAATCAACACTCGAGCGAGGCCAGAAAATTTCCATGTTCCTTGGATGAAAATGTGAGCGCTCTTGGTAAAATCGAAGAACGAACAGCTTTCATTGTCTCAATATTAAGACCTCAGATTCAACAGTGAGCCAACGTTTCTTAACCGACTCACTTTGACTCATTCTCAACATGACTCTAGCTTTTTTTTTCCCGGTGGGCATCTAACATGACACCAAAAATCTCGCTGCAAATAGTTGCGGTAGAACGAAGGCATGAATTGCAACAGACCTCACTTAGGATAGTGTCGTGTCCTTGAACGTTTGCTCCATAATAGAGCACGTACGCGACAGGAGTCGAGAAACCTATAAATTCGCCCTCTCCCCCCAGCAATATGTTCTACAACACTGTCACTTGCTGCGCAAAGTCGAGCAGGCCTTCGGTTCGAGGCACCTGATAAGTTCTTCCCTTTGACCTACTGGATTCCCACTGTACTGACATCTATACTGTAATTACGTTGTGGACTGACAAGCTAGAAAGTGCTTGTGAGAATGAGATTCCCACCAGGTCCACTATGCCACCCATGTCAGCCGACCAAGAAGCAGATTTGGGTTAGATGGTCGATGTATGTATGCGAACATCTGTCCACCATAGCAGCGGACTCACTGTCCCGCCCCTGAATATCCCTGATGCAAAAGGGCGGTTTCATACAGGTATGTAAGTCTCAGCACGACACTGTCCAAATTCAGCTGACTCCAAAGACGATGCGAAAGAAAGATCCATGCGTTCCGTCCAATATACTCCAGCCAGGGAGCCCCTTCCTGTGTCTTTTTTAAAACATGTGAGTCATGCATTGTCTCGCCGACTAACAAGCTAATGATGGACAGGAAACCGTTGACAGCGCACCAAAGTGAGTCCGAACCAGCACATCGTCAGTGCTCCACGCAAAACCATGGCTTATATACCATTTCTGGTCTTGCCACTTCAAATCATGCAGCGTTACAGGATGGACCGAAATCAGTTTCACCAGATGCACACAGACATTATGCCTCGAGCCCTATCTAGAAACACGCTAGTGCCTTTTCAGCTTAGCCCGTATTTAAATAACTGAATTGTACTGAAACATACGCTCACGTGAAAATACATATATGAAAGAACATTGTAATTTATACAAGCAGTTTATCACCCCTCAAGAAAAGCCCTTTGCCCTTCTTACCTTTCATCATCAAGGTCCCTACTTTTGGTACACTATTGTTCAGAATCACCACTTAAATGACAGCATGAAAACGCATTGCCTTATTGGATTTATAAGACATCTACCCCATACCTCAATAGCACTTACGTTAGGCGGCTTCAGTAATGCAAGGTAGTTACTAACTATAACAAGTTAGTTACCAATATATTGTGGATCAATTCCAAGTACCGAGAGACGAAATATCTAGCTATGCTTCTGAGAAACGGCATTCTGGTCGCTTTAAGTGGCATCATGCAGCCCCTATCAGCAGTTCGCAATCATAGAATGCAGCCTACTTGACACAGGCTTTGCCAGCGACTTACCCGCCATTCATAGGCCGCGTAAAGACCCGTGCTGTCCATCCCCCGCACATGACCTTGGGAGCTGATGAGCTAGAGCTTCCACAGCGTCCCCGTTCATGGTCTCATTGGGGATTCATCTGCGATAAAAAGTGTAGGCAAGACTGGAAAAAAACATAGGCTTGGACGAGGCCCTCGGCGGACAAGGTTTGCGTTTTCTCGTCACAATTGAGTTTTCCCTGAATAAGATTCCATTCCTCAAAAGAATGGCCCGCTCCTTGTCATTGAGACTTGGTTTGGATTTTCCGTTAATCTCAACCAGCGGATGGTCCAAGTCAGAGCTGATGTACATTCTATCAACACCGTTCTCCTCCGAGTCTAGCTGGTCCAAAAGCTCTCTGATCGGTTGAATAGGCTGCTGTGACGATGTTCTTGTCGACCATCCAAAGGGTGGCTCTCCCTTCTGTATCAGTTGCAAAAGACAGATTGCATCAGCTTGGCGTTCATTCAAGACATAGGACCATGCGAGGGCTCTTCCAAATGGAATAAGTAGCTCCTCTTGATGTCTTTGTCTGAAAATTTCCCATCCGGTTTCAAAGATGTGCCGTACAATGTCTCTGTGTACGATATCTCGTCGGATAATCTGACTGAGCTGGATCAGCACTCTGTAGATTTCCCAGTCGGTCCTTAGATGAAGATATTTGGCGAAAGTTGACTCGATTAGTAGTCTTTGTGGTCTTTGTGCCTCTTGGAAAACATCGAAAATCCGGCGGCAGGCAAGTATTGAAGAGAAAAAGTCTTCGAGATCTTGCAAATTTCCGAGGATTTTTAAGAGCAGTTCAGAAGGTAGAGCAACTAGTGGAGGGATGGTGTTGATTTTATGGACGTCAATTGTGGAATAAGCAATTGAATCTGCGGTTTTCTTGGTGTCCCTCTGAGGCGATTGCGGAAGGTTGGAGTGTATACAGGCCAAAATTTGGCACGAACGAGCACAGGTGTTCTTAGGCATTTTGGTTTTGGAATACTGGTGTGTAATGGATCGAGTCGCCCTGGGGGTGGTCGTGGGGTTTAAATATCAGTATGCGAACATTGCGCCTTGCTCAGCCAAGCGCTTCGCCTCCCGATACATTGATTGGTCACTCTGACCGCTTAGTCAGCATCGATTGATTTGAAGCTCCTAG